TCAGTGACATCAGTTTCCCCATGCAGTTTCTCACATGGTGATATGAACATGGAAAAAAGGGCCATCTGGCTTAACATCACAGCTGGGATCAGGTCTGTCACCAGAGATTTCCCCTTGAGACTACGTCCCTAAGCTCTTGACCTTCCACTAAACTTTTCTGAAGTAGTTTCTCAAAAATATCCCTCACATGCTGCAGCTAATAATTTGCTTTCAGCTCATAAGAAATGCAACTTACATGCCTCTCCCTGTGTCATATGCAATGCTTGTCAGCATGCAAGAAATGCAGGCAGAGCTGTCACAAGAAGATTTGGGACAGCATCCTACTGTGGTGTTTCTTTCTGTCTTTTACACTCTTATTAGTTGCCACCAGGGACCTGCAGGCCCTGTGTCTGGGCAACATCAGCTACTGGCATGCCCTTATACCCTTCATGAAACCACTGCGTGGCTGATGTCCCCCTTGGCCTGGCTGTGGCCATAGCTCTGTATGTCAGTATGTTTCTGTCCCTCCTCACCACAAGTCCCTCTCTTCAGTATGGATCAGACCTAGATAGAGCTAACACTATCATGTTAGTAATAAGATGAGGCTCTCAGATCCCCATGTTAAACCTGGACACAATGAGACCTGTAGTAAACCAGGGTTGAGATGCATCTAACTAAAACTTTCTATGCCTTCAATATAAACATGCAAAACTGCGTGGATCATTTAGACAATCTTTCCACTGTAGTAGAGAAGCACTTCTGGAATACAACTCATCTGAATTAATTTATATATCTGCCTTAGAATGGCATGACTCATGTGTTGCATAGGATTTTTTCCTCACCATTAAATCCATCAATGAATCCCATTCTAGATGTCAAACAAGTAGAGCGTATTTCCTTGCAAATACCTACTTGGATATATTTATATCAGCTTGGAACTGATTTATTACAGTTTCAATTGCATAGTTGGAGTTGATTTTCAAATATAGCAAAACTTCAGTATTAGGTCTCCCGCCTTTACTTTCATGCATACTAAAAAAATTTTATGGTGTTTTTTTAATTGAAATTGTGCAGGCTGCTGAAAAAGTGAGCTACAACATTCTGAGCACTGGAAAAAGTGCTCCTCTTTGTCCTTGGATCACTCTGTGCAGCATAATGAGGTCTTTTTGAATATTATCTCACTGAAAAGTAGTAGGGACTGACAGAGCTGGAATACTGGGGGGACACCTCAGACAGATGTGGACTGTGAACTTCAACGCTTTCTTTGGTATCTGCATTACTGCAGCTAAAGTGGGGGCTGCCTTGTCTTTCACTTCCTCTGCATTTTGCACATGAGGCCAGCCACCTGGAAAGGAACATGGCTTTCAACACCAGCATCATGGCAAGGAAGAAGGAAACAGGCATACATTCAACATCACTGTGCAGTCTACTACCAATGCACCGTGGCCCTGATCCTGAGAGATGACAGATGGCTTTTAGGGATAGTCCTGTACCACAGAAGGAACTGTCTGCTTTGTCACTCGCTATGGAAGAACAGGTTAAGTAGCATGGGTATCATAGAGAGTTTGACAGTGGTACAGGGTTGTCTAATGTCTCTGCCTAGACATCATCCTTTCAACTTTCACATCATTTACAATTAACAATGTAACAAAGCAAAATACAACAGTCTAGACAGTACCACATTTGCAATTCTTACTTAGGACAAGGCAGAGAAGAATAAAGAAAAAGTTGCAACAGTGTTCTTCTTAATAAATAAAAATTTGGTGGACGTGATCTGGCTTTTACTATGTTGAGCATACCAGATAGCCTCATACCAGAGGCTATCTCAGTTGGACAGTCTTGATCTTTGCTTTGTATTCATGCTGAATGAAATGTGTGCAAATGCATGACAGAGTCAAAGGATGCCTGAAAAGGATTAAAGTTTGAATCACAGAACCACAGAATAATTGAGGTTGGAAAGGACCTCTACAGCTCACCTTGTCCTATACCCTGCTCAGAGAAGGTCCATCGCCAACACCATATCAGGTCACTTGATCAGGTTTGCCTTTGATTTCACAGCACTTTTCTGGGACTAAGGCTTTGGCAGCAATGACGCTTTTGTCAGCTGAAGCCATTCCTACTCCATCTCCAGTCCTGGTTCTCACAAATATTTCTGTAGTCTCCTAAGGAAGTGATTCAGCTGAAATATAATCTGTACCGCCAATATCATAATAACTTTTTTATCCAGAACAGTTCCTCAGTCCAATTTATTTTGCTACTCACAACTGTGCTAGCATAGTGAAGGAAGAGCCAGACAAGGACAAGCAGCCAAGAGGAGGAAAGGAAAGGAGGAGGAAAGAGCAAGGAAAATGCCTACCAGAGCCAGAGCTGCAGATTAATGAATTCTGTGCCAAGCCCAACCTCAGAGAAGCAAGATCCAATTCCTGTTCAAGTCCCTACAATTTCCTCTTCTGGGGTGGGGTTGGGTATGATAGGTTTTCCTTATTGAATATTTTCACACCTACTGAACTTATTGGGAAAACTTTATCAAATGTATAGGAACCAACTAAATCTGTACATCTGTCAGAAAGAAGCAGCAAGCAGAAAGTTGACCTGAACAGAAGTATAAAAGAAATGAAACTTGCCAATTCAAATAGCCCAGACTGGCTGAGCTAAGAACCTGGGGTGCCTCCACCCAACATCTTGTGGAAAGGCACTTGCTTCAGAATTAGATCAAGCCTGAGCAAAGCTGGAATGAACTAATCTACCTTTGTTCCAGCTTTCCCATCTTCACAGTATTTCCATATTTGTCCAAAAGATTCAAAATGTTATTCAAAATAACTGACAAGAAGAGTAACCACTGATCAAAAACAATCTGAGTAAATTCCAGAGTAGTAGTAGATTGCTACTGATGTGCTGAAAATTAAGGCAACTGATCCTCATCAGTGCTACTGCCAATATGCAAAAAAAAAACCAAAAACCCAAAAGATCTGATTCATTCTATCTAGCAGTAGGTATTTAATGCAGACATCTGAGCTGGAAGCCAGATCACACTAGTCTTTCTGTATAATCCATGAAGAGTAACAAGCACCCCCTGAAAGTAAATCACACCAACATCTAATTTAGCATTTCTGTATAAGCTCAGTGGAGGTCAAAACGGCCTTACAAGCAATACTCAAACACTTATGCTAATCACCAACCAGTGAGAGGCTAGATGCACTGTCCTGTCACTTTTTAGTCCAATTTCAGTCTCTCATTTCTACTGGGCAGAGTTCAAAATACCATTTGAAAGCCAAATACAGATTAAACTAAAACTTCAGAGGCCAGAGACTATGCTTACTAAAACCAATTCAATACTGAAGCTTGAGTTTATTTTTAAAACTACATAATAGCCCTGATTTGTCCAGATTTAACAAATATAATCACAATATAATACTTCCCTATATATTCAGCAGAATCCAAAGTCCCCTACAAGTCCCAAATATTGCAATTACCCTGACTTTAACAATAGATGTTTCCTTATAAAGATTTCCGGTCCTACCAAATGTGGAAGTAACAACAAGCTCCTGGCTCCTAATCCTAAATCATTTCACCACAAGAACCACAGAACAGAAGGTAGTACTGAAAAGCTGCCTTAACAGCAAGGAGTGGCTTCAACTAAAACCCCATACCAAACTTTTACCCTCTGCCTACACTCTATCACCCATTACAGGTTCAAACTGACAGGTGACTTGGAGTGCCACAGCCCACAGATCAAAGATATCCAAGTACACAATAGAGACAATGCATATGTTGTATACACCCTGGCATAAATCAAACTCTGTACTGACGGTATTCCTCACAGTTAATATCAAGAGCACAGCTGCATTCATTTTTAAATAGAATACAGTATTTAAAATTAATATGTTCCCTTCCTAAAGTATTAAGCATAACTTAATTTTCTAGGATTGAGTCTAAGGACAAGACCTGTACAATTAAGAAAAGGGAAAATGTCCTAATTCCACTCCCTGATAAATCCCATCCCACAAATTACTGCTTTATTCAGAAAGCCAAATTCACCCTGCTAATTATAAATTATTCTCTCCCAGTTAGGCAATGGAAATAATAACAAATGACTTAACTAATCACAGCTAAATAGCACAGCTTGTATTTTGGATACCAAGTATTCCATACCACAAAAATACTCACAGAACATGAACATGGAAAGTGCAGTCTGTCTGCACAAACTCCACAAGCAGTGGTTATGTTCAATCACCAAAATGTAGACAATTTTAAAAAAAAATATTTGGGACTAATCTGAAAGGCAGTTAATATGTCATCACTCAGAAGCTTTCAGTTCCAATGTGTTACTTCATTTTAAAGATGTTATATGCTACTAAAGGATTTTATAAGTGGGTAGTTAAAGAGAGCTCAGTAAGACTTGCAAGTAGAACATTTCTGTTTGATTACTCTAAATGCATGCAAAGTAAAAAAACAGAGTGGAAGTTGATTATACCAGTTTTAAAGATGTCCCTGAGTGTCATGTACAGTCTGCACAGTGACTTTTAAGTGTTACATGATTATTATGTAGAAACAAGGTAATCTTTGGTGCATTTTAGCTTGGAGCTTTCAAACAGCATAATATATTCTCATGCTACCAGTCCTGAATACAAAGAAAAATTTAATAAAAACTCCAATTAGGACCACTCCTGGATATGAATATGCTCAACGTGGCTTTGCACTTTGAAATCCAAGTGTTAGCATATTTATCTTAGAAATTAGAAGATTCTGGCAGCTAACTAGGGAGACTATAGCAGGGCAGCAACAAATGGAAGGCACCTTTGATTTTACTCACTAGCTACCAGATTATTTGCAATAGATCATGGATAAATGGACAGGAGAAGGATACCAAACCTCTTCCTTTGCAGTGCAGTATTAAAAATATCCCTGTGTGTTTATAAGCAGGACTACAAATACCATATAAGAGCAGGAATTAAGAGGGAGGACGAAAGATTAGTTGCCCCTTCTGGTAAGGAGAAATGGCCAGCAGTTCAGACACTCACCTCTAGTTTGGGACACTTGACTCCAATTTCTTGCCATGTCGGGAGACCTACTGATTGTCTCTGTGCCTTCTCCTGTGAAATGCAATAGCAGAATATCGCTACTTCATGAGCATGGCATAAGGAAGCCTGGAGAGGGGGAGAGTGAGAGATATGTTGAGATGCTATGAGTATAGCTGCATGTTAGCAGAGAAGATTTAACAGCCAGTTGCCTTAAGATGCAATAGTACTGCTCCACTGCTTTCCTTCTCCCTCCTCCTTGTCTGTATCCCCATTCCCAAACACACAGCCTCAGCTCCTCTCTTGTGTAACTTTAGGTGCTCTATCTGTACAATAAAGCCAATTCAACTTACTAAGCAGTAAATAAACTATGCTTTGTTTTTGTTTAGGGATTATTTTAGTGCTGCCAAGTTGAATAGAGTCACTGTAGAGTTAGATGAGTCCTAGAGACAGTGGAGAGGACAGCCAGAACTACACAGCCTGAAGAGGAAGGAACAGAGCAGGGGAGTGCAGTAGGATCTCCCCTCTTTAGCATCAGTAATTCACTGGACTGGGAGCTATAGCATGTAACTGACTGATGGACACCTTAGGTAGCAGTGCACAGGTACAGAGAAAAGGAGCAGGAGTGGTGATCAAGGCCTGATCCAGCACAGCCACCAGAGCTCCAAGAGACTCCAACAGATTGACAAAGAGCTCACAAACATAATAGAGCTGGAGCTTGATATCATTCTTTTTTTAAAAGGACTGAAACTGTATCAGCTCAAAAATATAGGCAATCTACTGCCAGCTAAAAATACCCTCTTTCCCTTACCACAGAAGTTATTAAGCCTTGGTTTCAATTGACTGCACAGAGTTACCCAACTAGATTTGACTGTCAGTTTGCTTGCAAATAATGCCATTTTCCTAACCTATTTTGCTTTCAAAACATGCTTCAAGGACAGCTTTTATATTGAATAAGGGGGTACAAGGAGCCCATCTTCAGGAAGACAAAGCTTTGCATCTGTGCAGTAGAACATAGTAAAGACATTATTTGTTGGCTGTATGGCCTTGATGATGGCCTTGAACCCAGTAGGGCCCAACAGAATATCCAGGAGCACATTAAGAATTGTAGTTAGCTGTGGAACAGTGTTCCAGCAAATTATAACCACTGTTTTATAACAAATGCATAGCAATTGCATGACCTGGTGTGCTCATCCCCTTTCCAGAATGGCAGAGTAATAACACATACTGCTGTTCCATCCTGAGAGACCTCAAGCCTTGAGCTATGAGTTCATCAAAGGGGTTTTACAAGGCTCCAAAACTTCACCCACTGATTTTATTAAAAAGGCCTTCAGTTCTTTTATACCTTGTGTAGTGGGTTGACCTTGGCTGGTCAAACCCAATACATTCCACTCCTCGCCACTGTGAATCACATATTTAAGAGAAGACACAACACATGTTTCTCAGGAGGTCAGATAACACATGTTTACTGGTAAACTTTAGAAAATAAGGGAACTTGGGAAAAGTTTAAAGGGCAACATTCAACTAAATATTCCACAAAGCATTGACTTAGCACATGCTAGCACATACAACTTAGCAAAATCCAACCCATCCACCTTTAAGTTACCCAAATATCAAGAAAGGAGATTAGGAAAAGAAGAAAAAATAAAGAAAGAGTGAGAAAAAGAGAGAATTATAGCTACCACCCATAGATCCAGCATAGATCCAGCTACCAGGAACTCATCAGATGGCAGGGCCACAACCACACAATGGCCACATGGTGTTGGTTTTATCTGGTCTGGTCCCCTGTAGCCACCACCCACCAGGCCGGACTTCTGACCCACTGGCCACTCTGGGCTCTGGGATGGGGTGTGGGGCAGTGCTCATGGTGTGCCAGTGATGGACAGCTGCTCCAGGGCTGCCCAAGGAGGCTCCAAGGGGCTGAGCTGGGGCAGGACACCACTTCACCTTCATAAAATTTGACCTGTCCCTTCCCCCCCACATACACACTTGAATTGGTCCAAGCCAGTAATTAATATAATAATTCAGAATCTCACACATTCTACCACAGTGAAACCTAAGGCTGCCTCCCTTTGATGCACAGAGGCTTTCTAAACTTGAAGCATATCATGTACCTTGCTGGGGGACTCAGGAGTATTTTCCTGATTACCACTGAGTCCGTCCATAAGAGGGCAGTGATATACATCTACAACAAATCCATCGTCCCCCTGAGTCTTGGGATGGGACCTGGGTAAATATAATTAAGAGCATGCTCAGAAACATGCAGGTTGTTGGCACCACCCCTGCCCACCTTCCACTTGCAGGCCTGTGTGACTAAGCCTTCATTTAAAGCAGGATCCCTTGGGAACCACTGCCAGCACACATCTGAAGAACAACCTGTGCTCATGACTCTGGCTCTGTGGCCAGGTGTCCTAATTCCCTTGCTACAGGCCCCTATGGGCTGACACAAATTACATTATTAATGCCTGGCTATAGCTGTTGGAAGCTTTAAACCTGTATACTTTACCTTTCATGGTATCTTCCCTGCAGTATTTATCCACAGCTGTGGTGGTGAATTACACTGCGTGAAAGTGGCAATCAGATCATAAAACCTGTAAATATTCCTACCTAGGGTGATTAACAGAGGAAGAGAATTAAAATTGGTCAAATCTGCTATCTACATTTTTCCAGATGCTCAGAAAGAATGGTGACTACCTTCTGTTTTCTCATTTTCAAAAGATAAATAGGAATATCATCTGTCAAGCTTCAAGAGTAGATCAACCAGCCTTTTGTTCTCAGGAGAATTACGAAATTCAAAGAGCAGAGAGCACACCAAGCAGAATGTGTTGCAAAGCTCCCAGCATACTAGAACTGCAATAAATAAAAGATCATAACAACAAAGCTGTCTTGCATGTAAATAACAGCTCACCTTCATGTTTAAATTTAGTAAGCAATATTTCCCACTGTACATCAGTTTTGATTCACCTATGATAAGGTCAAATAATGAAGTGTTGTTCTGATGATCTTAATGGAGCAAGGAATGGGATGTGAAAACTAGGTAAGGGCAATTTAGGAGACCGAAAGAAATAAAAATATACTCCTGGGAAATTAAAACAACAGAAGGTAAGTGTCTTCAAGACAGTTCATAAAACACTTGAGGCAGTTTATTAGTTATTTAAAAATTTATATAGAAAGGATAACTGGTATCACCCAATTTTAGGCACTTCCCAAGCAAGCAATTCTCATGATATCCAGCAGAGGAGGAGAGGTTCCTTTGCTGGCTGATCAGGACTCGCTTAACTCAGGTGTTTTCAGTTGCCTTTCCACGGGTCTCACTCTCTGCTACCTACAGAGGAAGCCTAGGCAGCCTGGCTGGCTGATGTGGTGGCTGAGGCCACAGGATTCAACAGCTGGGTGACCTAAGACATCATGAATGCCTGTGCTAAGTATCTAATGCTGGCAAAACGTCTTCTCTCCCTTGTCTGATACTACATTAATCTGACAGTCTTTATATTATTCATACATTATTTCCCAAATAAAAGGTCTTGAAATTAATTGAGCTGATTTTGTTTGTGTTTTTGTTTGTTTGTTTTTTGAAGATCAATGTAACCAAAACATACCCAGTGCAGAAAACAATCTAGTTATATGAAAGGCAGGATGAAATAAATCTGTAAAAGGCAGTTACATTTTCCTCTGACATAGTAGCCTACAGGATCTTAGGCTTTCACTGCCTCCCATCAGGCAGCTAAGAAACTTCAGACACTTTGCAGAGAAAAGAAGACAAAATGTGAAATCTTTTCTTTTATTTTTATTATCTAGATAATTTCTAGATGTGTTTAACTCATTATTTTTCAGAAACTTTTCATTTGGTTATAGAACTTCTTACAGAAATTCCATCTTCTGCCCCTTTCCAAAGCTTTGGTTTGGTTGTTTTATCTAGGACAAGCTAGTTTTATTCTATTGAGGCTGGCTGGTCTGGAGTGTCCTAAGTTGCTGGCTCCACTGGGGCTGAAGTCAGCACTCTAACACGTCTCCCAGACCATCACAAATGTCACTATCTAAAACCTCAAAGCACATTTCTCTAATCTTTGGAAATAAATGGAACCAACTGCATAGAATAATGTTCAGTTTTGTAGCTCAAACTGTCACACGCAGTTAGAGGAAAAAAGTGCTGCCACCAAATGCCTCCAAATAAATGCAGCCAAAAGGGAAAGAGAAGAAAACTGGAGAGGTCAAAAGGGCCACAGTGGACAGCACATTGCACAGGAGCAGTAACAGTACAATGTCCCTCCCTTCCCTCCTGCTTTACAGCTGGGTTAGGTTACTCTTTTAACCTATACAGACTTACTTTCTAGAGTTCTGTACTCCTGCTCACTGGTGGGAATACCAAAATCCAGCAAAACAAAAACAGATGCTCAGGTAATGGCCTAAGCAGGTAGACATGAAGAGGCACTAGGGTTTCTACGCTCTTTAGAGCAGGGACAGATGGCAACACAGGACTGATCACAAACGCAAGCCCTTATATTCCTTTCTGAGCACTACTAAGTTTGGCTCATTGCTAGTTCATTCCTGCCCAAACCAGCTATGTTTTGTGGATGTCACCTTCTGCCAGATGTCACCTAAAGCTGGATAGCATTACTCCTGTACCTTTTACTCTTCATGTCTATTCTCTTACCATTCACACACTTTTCACTGATTATTCATAACAATGTGGTCTGACAAAAGCATTTATTTTTATTTGGGTTTTTTTCCAACTCTGTGCATTTGTATTCTGCTAGTAATCGCTCCAAGGAATAGTATTCAGCAGAATGGATTTTATATAGTGTAGCCAGCAGAAACTGCTGTGTAATGTTCTCTGTCAAAGAAAGAGTAGCTCCACTGCAGTTAAGACTGTTACGCCTGATCTCAGGTAACTAAAACAACGGTTTCCATCACCATTATCATTCATCTACTGTTATTGAAAAGAAGACTAATTTCTTTTTTAGTTTTTCAACCAATATCAATTTGATTGTCTGTTATTGCATATAAATCCAGTCAATGTAAATGTGTCATGGTTTTAAGCTATTCTCTAGGACATTCTTCTTGCTCTTCCAGGACATCCTATTTTTTATGTTTTTTATTTTTTATGTTTTTTTCACACTGGACAATAAATGAGTTCCAATATTAAGAGTACTTTTTCTTAATTCTGTATTTTCAATATTGTGTCCAGATTAAAAAAAAAAAAAAAAAATTGAAAAAAAAGGGCCCTGTAAGCCTGAAAACCCACTCTAGCACCAAACTGAAGTAGAAAGCTTTTTAAAATGCTTCTAAATGTTGTTTCAAGCCAGATGCAAGATTGCTATGTTTTTCTTGGCATACCTTGTTCCCTTTGAAATACACAGATTATTCGTGATATGTTCTTGTTTTCCTTCTCTTTTATTTCAACAAGATGTGTCCTTTGGGAATGCACCGTGAGTCCCTTCTCATAAGTTGGCTCTGTCATCTGTGGCACGTCTCCACTGCCAACTATGTATGCAACGTATATTTTTGTTAAGTGTTACTTAAGTGAGGTTCAGAGACTTTTACAGACCTATGCAAGTGTCACAGACTCTGACACCAGATGTGATTTATAGTGGTAACCCCAGGAAAAATTAAAAATCAAGTGTTTTATTGCAGGATAGCCATGTAACCAAATCTTGGAGTTGTTCAAATAATGTGAAAACTTTCTTGAAACAACCTCACTGAATTCAATATTTAACCTCTCAATCATGAGTTGTTCAGAAATACTGCCAGACACTGTTCAAACAGAATTCTGCAAAAAGCAGTTTCACAAACTTGGCTGACAAAAGATAAAGGAACATGGAGAGATGGATGGAAGTGCAAAAAAAATGTTGATAGAAATGGGTGTATTTGATCAGAAAACAGTAAAAATGCGACTTTTAAAATGCAACTTAAAAACTCTGTCCCCTAAATTTCACAGTATCACTGTGAAATCACTTCTTTCTAAGCCAGTATCAGGATTCTTCGAAGGGTCAAACCGCTAACCTTACAGTGATTGGGCTCTCTGTACTTAAGAGATATCACTTAAGGATGATGAGCAATCTATTGGTCAAATACAGCTGTAATGATTGCTTCAAGGCTGTCTAAAACTTAAATGTGTTCATGGATACTTGCCAGAAGGACAAAAAAAAAGAGCTTTATAGGTTGTTTGGAACAAATGGCTACAGAATCACAGAATATGCTGAGTTGGAAGGGACCCACAAGGATCATCAAGTCCAGCTCTTAGACCTGCACAGGACCATTCCCAAGAGTCATACCATGTGCCTGAGAGTATCATCCAAATGCTTCTTGAACTCTGGCAGAACTGTGACCACTTCCCTGGGGAGCCTGTTCCAGTGCCCAACTACCCTCTGGGTGAGGAACCTTTTTCTAATATCCAACCTAAACCTCTCCTGATACAACTTTAGGCCATTCCCTCACGTTCTGTCACTGGTCATCACAGAGAAGAGATCAGTGTCTGCTCCTCCTCTTCCCCTCATGACGTTAGTCCTCACAGATCCTTTCAGTTGCTGATACAGTTTAGAGGCTAAAAATTTTCTAATGTAAGAATAAAATTCAAAATAAAGTTAGTCTGCAGTAGAAAATTAAAACCTTGTCAGGGATGCTCCAGAACATTCAGTGGATGTGACAATCACACAATTCATCCAGCTTGCTGGCAGCTCATGTTCAAATCCATTATTGACACTCTTGTATTTTTCCACAGTACGTGAGGATCTCCTAAAAAAAAAAAACAGAAAGAAAGAAAAATTACCTAAGGAATTATTATGGTGTCCACTTGCACTTTCAAAAAATTCTGTTTCTCTTTCCTTCTCTCTTTGCTTGATCCAAATATAGCACAGAGCACTACAATGCAAAATTATACTCTCAGTTTCACTTCAACACAGCTTTCTGGATATCACACAAATTATGTGAGTTTTCTTGCTTATCATCCCAATTTCAGACTGTCTTGGTATCTTAAAATATTTCTTAGAGAATTGTACCTTCTGATTGCACTCCTCCCAAGCTTAGTCGTCATTTCCCTCTTTTCTCCCTTCTCAAAATAAACAAAAATTAAGAGCTAATGTTGCTATTCGTGATGAGGACAGTGTTATATGATATGGTAGGTAAACAGAAAAACTGTCCTTGAGCAAGCTATACATACATTATGCTAAATTTGGCATAGAGAAAGCAAACCTTGCAAGTTCTTGGCAACCTAATTCCATCACTGCTTGCAGATGAAATGAGATGACTGGTGGTGGTAGGAGGGCAGAGGAGAAGAGTGGGTTTTTAAATTACATACACTTGGTAATTCATTGCAGAAATTAAGCCTAATAGGTACAGTTGCTTCATGGACATGAAGGCAGTTCACATGGCCAGCACTGCCCTTGACAGCAGGTGGAGTTTTGGATAAACAGCATGAGGAAGCAGCTAGCAAAAGGCAAAAGAACCACACTTGGAAAAACTGTTTTGGAATTTGATCCTTGTTTTCCTGACAGCTCAGCTCCTAAGTGATACTCACATTATTTCAGTTCAAAAGCAATATCCAGGTGGGGAAAAATCCCAAAGGTAAAAAACTACACAACAGTAATGCTTGGTCAAAAGGGCTTGAGTTTATCCTAATAATCACCTGAGTGATACATATCAGTCACTGCTTCAGCTTTAACATCCAAATTTGAAGACCCAGTGCTAGACATCAGCCTGAAAAAGCTGGAAAGAATGAAGGAAAGGAAGGGAGGAATATCTCACAGCAACACTGCTTCCAATGTGGGGTCCTCCTGCGAACACTCTAACCTGGGTCCCACCATCCCACTCACCCCTGGATGTTACGGAGAATCAGCAGTGCAAGTGTGCAAGTGCAAGATACAGCTGCTTTGAGAACCACTCCTGGATGGATGCAGGTCTAAGATCTGTATTTCATCTGCAGGGTTACTTTCAGTGCATCCTTATTTCTAAGGAACTCAGAAGTTTGGGACCCCTGACACTTGTGTGAAAGGTCACTATAGAGAGAGACAGAATGAGGAAGAACAGACAGTAGCTTCATTGTGCAGGTGCAATGTGATTATCCATCTCCAAAGAAAAGCTCTGCAGAAAACAGAGCTTTCTCAGGACAGTCTCAGACTTTTGGATGAGTTTCCACTGGAATTATCCCCAGCGCAAAGCTCACTATCTCCTACTCTGAATGTGAGTCACATAAATACATATAGAACCACGTACAGATAATGTAAAAACTATTTTAAAAGACATCAAAAATAAAGAGAGCACAAAAGTCATCTTTGGAAAGAATGAGAGAGAGAAAACCTTATGTAGTAGATGACAATTCCACAACTTAATGCACTTCTGGAAGACATTTAACTCTGTGACGTGCAGCATATAAGAACCAAACCAAAACTTACATAACATTGCATTACATTGACATAGTTTTCTAGGTAGAGGCACTGGCTGGAATTCATATAAACATATCCATGGAAAAACAATATCTCATCCACATGTACAAGATCTACCAAATAAGAAGAAGTATCACAGCACTCGGCCATTATCATAGCATGTGCTTCATAAAGTGTAGCTATGAAAAACAATGCCCAGTGTCTCCTTAGAGGAATAGCTAATATGGGTTAGTGAGTTTTATTCTATTGTCTCCTGCCTTGCAAGGTAACAATCCTACTCCATGGATACTATACAACACACTTCTGTAGTGCCCCACATAAGTCTAGGTTTGGTAGCATTCCATATTTTCATTTTGATGCAACACTGGTACATATTTCACATTGTCCTAATTCTTACTTTGCTCCATGTAAAGCTATTTCGGAAGCATTTAAATCTCGACCTCCCCAACAGAAACTCCAATTAACATTTCAGCTATGAAGACTATTTTTAAAGGAGTCATGGCGCAGTTCTCATCCTGCTAAGCAAAAATTCAAAACATTAAAACTGCATGTTAAACATTACAAAACGGTAATCACCAGCAGCCTCATCTGTAAGATAAGTTTAAGTATTTTTTTTCTTGATAAGTAAGAACTGAGCATTCATTAAAAACCTGGGCATGAAAATTTTCATCAAACTTGTATATTTGCACAGCACCTTGCAAAAGACAAAAATAAAGCCAGCCTTTGCCGAGAATTTAGAAGCATGGCTTCCACTATATTTCAGAGTCTGTATACTTTCTAAAAAGAGTTCTGCATCAGATCCTAGTCAGTTCAACATAAACCCTGTGAGCAAGAGCTGAGCACAGTATTCTTTTCATCTTTTTCCTCGTGTGGTGCAACAAAAGACATGGAATTATTTCAGACACCTTGATCCAAGTAGATAAAAGGAAGCAGCTGAAGGAGTTCCTGCTATTACAATAGACTCAATGTAAAATAATTTTTATTTCCCCAGCCCTTAATTTCTCCTATTCAGTCCAGATATATTATGCTTCTTCTGACCCTTGTGCCACCGCAGCAATCTGTTCAGAGAATTCTCTCAAGCTGTGTCTATACTGTGGGAACCAGCAGTATTTTGCAAACCTCAGGTATATGCATACCTGCCATGTCTTGTCTTGACCTGGGGGATATCAAGACTCAGGGCCACTTTTTGGCATCCAGCTTACAAAGAAAGAAAAGGGTACAAATTGCTTTCTCTTCAATTTTTCCTCCTTCTGTAAGAAGAAAATATAGGCAGGTAAAGTGGGAGAGCATCACAATGTGGTCCAGTAGGTGCTCCCATTTAGACCTTGTACGAAACTGTACGAAGAAGTAAATACTAAGATTAATCCTAAATAATGGTGCTTATCCGTGATTTTGCACATCTTTAAAGGAATAATCACTCTACAAATTTACAGGCAGCAACATAACTGAATTTCTGTCCACATATCGTTTTTACAAGGGTATGTAGTGATAGGACAAGGGATAATAGCTTTAAACTAAAAGAGGGTAGATTTAGATTGTATACTAAGAAGAAATTCTTTACTGTGAGGGTGGTGAGACATTGGAACAGGTTGCACAGGGAAGTGGTGGATGCCCCACCTCTGGTAGTGTTTAAAGCCAGGCTGGATGGGGCTTTGAGCAAACTGGTCTAGCAGAAGGTGTCTCTGTCCACGGCAGGGTGTTGGAACTAGATAATCTCTAAGGTCTTCTCAAACATAAACCATTCTATGATTCTGCCATCTCAGCGAGCATGGACTCGCTCTTGCCTGCCTGGTTTGTACTATTGCTCCCTGCTACAACTCTCCATGTTGTCCAGGGTGAGAGCAGTCACGGGGGCATGCACGGGGCAGCGTGTGCTGTGGTGACCATATACACCCCCCCCCAAAATGAAGAGGACCGAAAAATTGCACATGCATATGAGAAGGGATCTTCTCTGCTATTTCCAGCAAGAGTACGCTGACCCTACCTCAAAGGCTACTGGATGTCAACCTAGGCCAAACATTTTGGTCTCTGTCATATGATCCAATGATTGCACCTTAACAAGTAAGAGCATGTCAGATTAATCATTTCAGCTACCCTTGGACATGCTCTCAGACTACCCCGAGTATGAGGTAATATGGCTCACCTAAATATCTTCCATGGAGGCTTAAGCTGAGTGGTGGGCTAAGTTTGCACACCTGGACAAGTATCAACAGTTAGTAAAGCTCTTCTGAGTTTTACTGGCTCAGGGGCACCTTTTCAAGCCTCTGTAACCCAACCATGTGCTGAGACCTTAGGAACTGATTGTAGACACAAGTAATGTTCATACTGAGCCGTGCAAGTAACCATTTATAAACTGGACTAAGAATAGGAGGATGTAAAGTGTTGTTATACAGATAAAAAAATGTTAATACTGCTAGTTTTGAGATGTCATTCACCTCAGGGTTAAAACAGTACTTTCGTTTTCAGCAATCTGAGAGCACATTTTAAATTTTTGGATTCCTGATAAAGAAATAATTCTGATAACGTATTTAGATATGTGGCTGTATTCCTAATAATTACCATCAAAGGTGAAGGTAATGTTTTATAAAGATCATGTTTTATAAAGTATACAGGCACTCTGGGGTCTCTGCCCAGCTCAAAAGCTCACATCACACAATGTGAAAGACTCTTCTCACAGCAAGCACCTTGTGCTATGGGTGAAGTCTACTGTGTACACCTGCCTCAATCTATAGCTCTTCAACGCACAGCCTGCACTCTGGAGAAAATCCGTGAGACCCACACTGCTCTTTTTTCACCAACTTTCTATATAAGGCCCCTCAAAACACAAAGAGTGGACATACTTTCCTAAAACCAAGCCTAGTTTTTTTCCCAAAGCCACAAAAAGTTAATGCACGATGAACGCTGTTCTTATAAACACCTCTTCACTATTTGGGGTGGTGGAGGTGGAGAGAAGTTCTCTTGGAAAGCCCATGTTTTTATCTAAATTCACTATTCTGCATTCCACAAAAAATCAGAACTATTTTCACTCAAGTCAAGAATCAACTGTACTTACATTGGGATGAAACACACTGCTGCTTTTATAGAGGAACATGTTTGGCAAGCTCAACTATCAGTGGCATTATCTCAGCAGCTTCTAATTCTACACCACTAGCTCAAAACCTATTATCAGCTGTTGTAGTTTGGATGCATATTAAAAAGCAACCAGATACTTATCACACTAATATTTCTACCACACAGTTAGCAAATCCACATACGTAAGTATTCAGCCCTCTATTCCTACAGTGCAGCAAAGTCTCTACATACAGTGTACAAAAGCTCTATCAAGTGCTGCAAGTAAAAGCTTTGGTTTACACT